AGATTACTAATTATCCTAACAAATTATCCCCAAGTTAGTAAGAAGACCCACTCACTTCCTTTTACCTGATAACAGAAATCTTCGTTTAAAAAAACCCACCAAATTGTTTTTTCTATAATCCCATGTTCTTGGCTGCCAGGAACCCCTTCACTCTCAATGTTTATATTCTTGTCTCTGCATTGTCTCACTAGTCTCGAGTGGTTCGTCACTTCCAGATACTTCTATCCCTGCAGTGTTCCATTCTTTATCAAGCTTCTGAATTCAAGCAGGGATCTGGGTTGTCAAGGTAGATTGGACACACCACCCAACACTGTGACTAAGAAACACTTAGTCATCCCTTCGGTAATATTTATTGAGTACCCACTATGTGCCAGTCACTGTGCTAGGGTCTGCACTTGTGATTAATTGTTTCTTTGGTTTAAGAATTTCTTAGTTAAAGCCAAGCCTGCCCCCACTTTAAAAAGTTTCTTTTTATGTTTGGCAAAGTAATGCAACCATAATGTTAAAATGAACAAAACGAAGTCCCCGGGCTCAAAGAGCTTTCATTCTGGTTGGAGGAGACAGAAATAAACAAGTGGACAAGTAAACGCACAAAATGTCAGGCGGTGGTAAGTGCTATGGAGAAACACAAAGCAGGTCAAGGGGACAGAGAGTGATGGGAGTAGAAACACAATGTTGCACAAAGGCGTTAAGAGCCAGCAACCTACAGGAAGTGAGCACAGCATGGATCTTGGGGACATCCAAGGAAGAGTGTTCCAGACATAGCGAACTGCCAACGCAAAGGCCCTGCGCGTGGTGGTGAAATCAAGGAAAGACAAAGAAGCCAGTGTGTCTGGAACACCGTGAACCCAGGAGAGGGGCGGGGAGGAGGACTGAGTGGTGGCAAGGCACGTGGGCGCATGACGAGCACTCTGGAGTTTTACCCCAAGCAAGATGGGGTCGGCGGAAGGCTTTCGGCAGCAGACACACATGTCAAAGACTTGCTCTGGCTGCTGTGGATCACGGCTCTAAGATGGTAAGGGAAGAAGCTGGAGGAGTTAGAAAGTGGCCGTCATAACCCACATGACGGCTGATGGCTGCATGGCTCACGGGGGCTGCGGTGGATGTGGTGTGAACGCATTTCGAAGAGGCATTGACTGGCTTCACTAATGGACTAGATGTGGGTGGGATGTGAGAGCAAGAAATGAATCAAGGTTGTTTTTGAGGATTTTTCCGAAGCAACTGTAAGAATGGAGGCACCATTTACGGGAGGGGAAGACTGGCTAGGTGAGGGAGAGGAGGGGGCAGGGAGGAAATCGTTAGTTTTAGATCTAAGTTTGTGAGGCCTAGTCCTGGCTCTGAATCTGGAGTTCAGGTGAGAAGTCGGGGCAGGAAATGTGAACTGGGGAGTCAACCCCATAGAGACATGAGATGGGGAGAGGTCGCCGTGGGAGGAGTGTGGTTGGGGAAGAGGCGGGGCGTGACTTTGCTCTGGGGCTGTCCAAGTTTTATAAGTTGGGGAGGTGAGAAGGAACCAGCTTTCTGACTGAGAAAGCAAGTTTGGTGTCCTGGAAACCAATTGAAAAGTTTCAAAAATGGGGGCGTAATCAGCCATGTCAAGTAAATGAGTAAAAGGGATGCAGTATTTTGAAGCAACACTATAAAAAAGCACTTGGCATCTAGCTATCAAAATACGGGTTTGCCAGTATTTTAACAGCTCAGAAAACAAATATTTCATGACTTAATATGCTGCTTTCAATCTTTCAAAATATTTCCACATTCATTACAAAGGTTAAGACGGAAAAATATGACAGCAAAACTTCCTGTTGCCCTGGGCGCCAGCACCTATGTATAAAGCCTTTCTCTCTGCTCATCCTGATGACCCAAACTCCAGTCAATGTGCTCAGAGCTTTGGTCTTTACACACATTTGGCTAGTGTTCAAATCACATGACAGATTTTAAACATCACGTTCCACAGAGGGATTCCTTGGTTTTGTTAAAATATTTTCAGAGCAGGAGTGTGGTAGTGCGGTGGCGTGTGTGTCTTTGGACCTGGGTCATTCTCAGGCTCTCTCCATTTGCCTCTCTGCTCACCTTGCATCTACAATCCCACTCACTAACTTGTGTATTGTTTCATTTAGATCTAAAATCCCAGTGAGAAGAAAATATGGCCTTCCTAGAGCCAGGCTAAGCCAGGTCACTTTGAGTGAAGTCTGGCTTTTACACAGCTCCGAGGGCTGTGTCTGTGAAATCTCAATAGTACGGATGCCACTCATTTAGGTTGTGATAATATAGTCTCTCTGAATTTGCGGAATTGTTCTCATGAGTAAGGGAACCCCCCAAAAAACGTTCCCTGCCACCCGCCCGCCAAAACCTAAGCGTTTTAAAACTTGGAAGTTATTCAATATTCCTCTAACTTCTGGGTACAGAAATTTTGTCTTGGATGCCAAAAGCCTCTGGAGTTTGACACATTGTTACACAACGCAGGCCTCTGTGCATCATGACTATAATTACGCACTGACGTTTGTTTTCAGACAGGCCACATTATCAGTCTGTAACGGGAATCTGACTAGTCCATTGAGATTTGGTATATAAAGCCTTCTCAAGTGTAACGAGAAATTTTTACCCTGGGCTTAAAAATTAGTGAGACTGATTCTAAAATCATCCAATGATGTTTACTTAAAAATAATCACTTTTATGGAGTGAAGACGCATTCTTTTTGTCAATTCTGTCTGGGGATGCATGAGGCTCTCACTACTCAAAGTGGGATCTCTAGACCCACAGTATTAAAATAAGTTTCTAAATCCGTGGCCATCAGTGTCACCTGGGGAGCTTGTTAGAAATGCAAGACATCGAGACCCACACTTGCAGACCTACAGTTAGACTCAAATTTTAACACCCTCGCCTGGGAGGAGTGCTGTTTTAAGGAGGGACTGCCCAGGGCTGACTTGGACCTCTTTTCTACCTTTTTGCCTCCCTCCATGATCTCATCAGGCTTATGGCTTTTAACCAGATGCCAGCACTGTGCCTTTAAGAGACAGAGCGCTCTTTGTGCCATATGAGTACACAGCCAGGTGGCCATCTGCAATCCATCAAGAGTCCTCATCAGAACCTGACCGTGCTGGCACCCTGACCTTAGACTTCCAGCCTTCAGAACTGAGAAAATCAATTCCTGTTGTTTAAGCCTGTCTATTGTATTTTCTTATGGTAGCCCAAGCTGACCAAGACAAGCCTAGTTGAAATTCTCAGGAAATGGCCACACCGATGGAGCTGAGGGCCTCAAATGTTACTGGCCATTTAAAAACCCGTTGTGTTTTAACTAATTCTAACAGAACTCCGGCACTACCCAGAAATAATATTCATGCTTCTAAACAAATAGCTGCACATTCCACTCTCCTGTTTAAGTTCTTCCCGAAGATCACACCGTTTGCACACTCAGTATCTTACCAGCTGCTGGGAAATTCCAGCTGACAACTTAGAGCCTCTCTCTCTAGGACCATAGGTGACTAAAATCACAATTATTATCTTTAAAGTCATGATTGGTTCCCCTGCCCCAACTTTTCACTGTACATCCAAATACCTAAATGCCATTTTAAGAACTTAGCTGTGAAGGTTTAAGCAGCAGAAAACCAGAATCACTGGCTTTGTGTTGTGTTGGGGGCAAGTGCAGCTGTCAGAGAACTAGAGAAGCCCCTTGTGGAAATGACCTAGTCAACACTCTACTCCTTTATTATGAAGAAGGTCGGGGATGTTTGTAGATAGTTTGGGGTTTAAATAAGTACTAGTGACCCTACTTGTCTAGCACCTGTAGGCATTATCAAACAAGTAAAGGTGCCAGCAATGACTGACCTACATGTTCAACTGCACTGACCAAGGGGAGTGGGACATAAGGAGCTGAAGGGCTGGGACTACAACCATTATGCCAGTGAGAACTTTATACACATCTCATCTTCATATTTACCTTCAAATTTCTGCATAGAATACATTTAAAGTGCCACCTCTCCAAAGCCAAACATTCTGTAAGTTCCAAATTGTAAAATAACCTATTCGTGTTTCGTATAAATGTTTCTTGTAGTTAAAACCTGTCCCTTTTCTGTATTACAGCACATTTGCCTGCCTTTTCTATAAACCAGGATGTCATGATTTCTATACATGTGCATAACATTTTTAACTAAACTATGTGTTGAATACCTATGTGCCAAGCATACGAAGGACCCACCCCTAACACAAAGAACCAAGTGTGTAACTGTCCAGTCTTACAGATCCTGATGGCCTGTGGCACACAGGTCTATCTCTTGGCCTTAAACTTATTAAGTCAAGATGAATCACCTCATTTATACTTTATGCATCAACTTAACCTGTTTCCGTCAGTGTTTTCTAGCACTAAACTTTTTTAGGGTTTCTACTTAATGTTATCTTTCTAGATTTTTTTTGTAGAGGACAAGACTGCTTTCTGTGATCACTCACCACTAGACCCTTGTGTAGCCTGTCCTCTCCATCTTTATCACCGACAATGATCTAGGGGTTTGAAGAGACACACACACACACACTCTCTCTCTCTCTCCCTCACTCACAGAGTTAATGGATCTTTCATAAGACTGCTCTCTCTCAGATTAGGACCCCCCCCCACCAAATAGCACAAACCATTATATGTTCTTTTGTATACCAGACCAAATGACCACCTTATATGGGAAAAGCAAGCTGTCACCTAGTAATATTCTCCATTTTTGTCAAGATTAGCTTGAAATGTTCCTGAATTGGGAAATTTTGCCCCTTAAGTGACAAAGCCCATTTTTCCATTCATAAGGCAGGTAAAAAAAAAAAAACCCCTCCCATTAAAGCACTACTTAGTTAAAACACACTGAAAAGAGAGATCACAGCTTCACTTTGATGTGCGGTAGACAACAAGGTAATGCTATAAATACACAAACTGTAATATGAAACTGAATTTCATTTTTATGAAGTATTCTGAAATCAAAGATGATACACCTGTATCGGGCACATCCAACAGAAGACTTTGCAATGGTTTGCATTTCCTTTTTATTTATTCCTTGAAACTGCCCCTACTGCAGGTTTCTCACGGATGAAATATGGAACTGAGCAGATTCATTTTTTTCTACAAAATATGGTATAAACTTGCTCAATTTTCTATCTTATTGCTAACAAACCTTACAGGCGCACAGTCTGTAAAATAAACCCCTTAAGGACTGAATGTGTAGAGCATGCTGCAAGGTACAAGAAATAAGCTAAAAATGAGCATATTAACCTACATCTGGACCAACACAGTACTGAATGTTGGCAAACATTTATCACAACACAGGGAAAAATTAACAAAAGGAGATACAGTTCAGTCCTGAAAGGGTTAAATAGAAACCCTAATATATTATCGTTTCTAACCATCCATCCCACATTACAGTGCTTGAAAACAAAGTCAAAAGTCTGGCACAGAAAATTACACACATTTGTTCAGTACTCATCAGAAACAGCTGCTTTTGAAATCAAAAGTAAGTAACTTGGTTAATAATTGAATAGCATTTTGTTTCAAAACGGAACTCCACCCCCACCCCAAGGATTATCTGGTTAAACAGGACTACTTAGTTTAGTTCTAAAAAACTGCATTGGAAAATTTGTGAGGGCACAGATGGTACCAGTTTCCCTAGAAAAACAGAAAGAAAAAAAAAAACCCCAAAAAACTAACCACTTACGATTGTAAATAAGTCTGTGCAGTAAGAGTGACAAACATTTCACTAATCAATATATATATATGAGGATGCCTTTAAGTTGCCACAGTTTAAGAAAAGTCAGCAGCAGGTTAAATATTATACTAGTGTTCAATTCTGAAGCCATTCAAAGTAAAAAGGGCATTTTACATTTAAAGCCTTTAGCTTGCCTTTCCAATCTATGTGACCAATTCAATGCATTCAATGCAACTAAAAATCATCACAGACTCAGCTTCTATGCATATTTTTAGAAATTGCATAGAATCTTTAGAGCATTAAGATATATTTCTAAAACAGAACTTAAAAAAAGAAAAAACACCTCAAATGCACTGTACTTGAACTGAAATAGTTATCATTCTAAGAGAGTTTAGGAGGGAAAATGACCAGCATCTCTAAAAAACACTCCCACTGGGGGAGGGCTGTCCTCTACTATAACCGGAGGACAAGGCTCCTATAAATTATAGGCTGAAGATGACTTATAGATTCATGAAAAAGATTTTTTTTTAAAGCAGCTGACAAAACTGATAAAACAATAAGTGACAACAGACAGCATTTCAGTCTTTAGTTTGTGGTACGCAGATGGCAAAAAATAGCTGGAGAAAATGCCTATATAAGTACATTCTTGGACTTTTCAGAAAAACAAACAGGAAAAGAGTTTATAGTCTAATATCTCAATTACTAAAAGAAATAAAGAGCCCAAATACGATATATTTAAACAGTAAAAAAGCAAAAGTTCATTTTAACAAAGCCATAAACTTGAAAAATTATTTTGTGCTGCAAAACTGGGTGAAGAATAGTTTGTTCCTCGAAAGCATCTCATCTGTTATCAATTAATTTAATATAATTTTGTAACTAAATACCAAGCCTCGGAAGTGGAGGAAACTTGTGGCCCATTAAAAATACAGCAGCACTGAAAACATTTCCACACTGAACAAAAAGCACTGTGTAAAGGCTGCTTGCACGACTCAACAGAGAGGAGAATAAATACTACTCAGAAGTAAGCAAGTTTGTAAGAAAAAGCCAGTAAACAGTTGAAACAAAGAAAAGATAAGGCCACAATGAATTCTGCCCTAGATCACTGAAACAGGTTAAGTGTGAGGCAGGATTAGCTTACCAGAGAAGCTAGTGACTGGAGCAGATTTGGAGAGAGAAGGCTCTGTACAGTATAGTGCAGCCTGCGAGTAATTAAAAAGGCTTGCAGTAAGAGAAAACCACAATAACTTCAATTTAACCACAAACGTGTTAGTTTTACAAATGACTTTCCCCTTGGAAACTGAGGAAAAAGTGATTTAAAGATGTTAGGAAGTGTATTTACAATGGTATAGTCTGAGCAAAAAAATGAGTGATGAGATAGCAAAGCTGAAAAAAAAATGCTACCAATGATGATGTTTAAAAGTCCACCAATGGAAACTTTCAAAATAGCACGGGACACAAGACAGACAATGTTCTGTATGGAAACACCGCAGGACGGGAAACTTTTGCATTCGTAAGGTACTTGTGGCTCCTGTTTTATGGGACAGTAAAAGCTTACCACGATCTAGAGGTAGTTTTTACTCTGAGAAGGACGACTGTTACTCCACTGTGTCCTGTAACATTACACATGTGGTTCTTGTACTAAATGTAGCTCAAGGAATCTGCTGTAATTTCTAAGAAACTGAACAAAGAAAGGCATAACCAAAGTGCAGGAATGGAGGCGACGTAAAACTCGTGAGCTTAGCATGCAAGACCCACACACAACCCTGAATGCAACCAAATCTAACTGAATGAAAACAAATGTTTTCTGAGTAGCAGACATTTATGGAGACACTCAATAATGGGGAAGAGAAGACAAAAAAAGGGGGGCAGGGAAATGAAAAGATAAGTTAGTTACATTTGCATTTTTATAATCTCACAACTATCTGTTTCTAAAGTACTGTCTTCCAGCTATTTTAGTTGACCATCTAATAAGAGCATCTTGTTTTAAAGTTATAATGATGTCTTGGCCTAGGCTACCAAAAAAAAAAGTAAACAAAAACATGCTTTTGCTGAGATTTTCCTCATTATACAATAAGGGCACCATCTACCAATTGGTAGCAAATACTTCTATGATCTTATTGTCATATGCCAACAAGGCAGAAAACACCCTACTGAATGAAATCACTGGGAACATTACAAGTTAAAAATAAAAATGTTTAACTTACACATAATACAAGTTATGTACAAGATTAGGAGGGGGAAAAAAACCTGAACAAATCCTGGAACATGTAGATACACTTAAGCACGGGGAAAGGGAGCAAACACTTCAAACAACAATATGTTCTGTGCCATTAACTCATTAATGACTAAATGGCCACATTTAATTCCATGTAAATGTTAGAACTGATTGGATCGCCACTATAAATACATAAAAAAAAAAAAAAAAAAAGAAGAAGAAAAAAGAACTGCCAAGTGTCTGAGAACAGAGACTAAGTTAACGTACATACTGCATGTATTGCAGGCAAGGCAGAGGCATTTTTTAAAGCTTTTGCACAGACTTCATATAATCTTAAAAAAAATATGCAGGCCTTTACAAGATTTGACTTGCTGAAATCAAAAAAATTTCAACTCATGAAAAGTCCTAAGACTTCAGCTTAAAAAAAAAAAAAAAATAAAAACAGTTCCAGCCTTAGACCAAAAGAACCTGGAAGAGTATGGTATTTAGATTAAACAAGCATGGTCTGGCTTGGAGCCTGAAAGTATTTAAGAGCAGAAGCTCGAAGAGAGGCAGGGAGAAAACAACTTATTTGATAACAAAGGTGTACTATATACGGTGATACAAAAAAGGCCTGGTGAAAATGTACCTTTTACTAAAGCTTATACAAGTTTCTTGGTCCGTAAAAACTATGTTAGATTTGTGTCTTCTAGTTTGATTAACTTTTATTCCAGCCACATCTCTATTTCTTGCCCATTTAAACAAAACCAAACAAAAACCAACCAACCGAAAATAACAGCTGAAAAAAATCAATTTCCAATAGTTTGTACATTTTGATGTTTGTTTGTTTGTTTGTTTTGTTTTACTGTGGCTTCTGTACTTCAAATCAGCACTTGCAGGTAATGGGGTTTTTGAATAATATCACCTGGTATGAAAAGTTTTCCCAAGAAACCACAAAAGATTGTTCACTTTTTCTTTTTTTGTCAACATTTTGCTGCATTCAAGTCAGTTTAAGTCCTAGCAGTGAGACGGTAGTTAGGACACCACTGTTGCTGTAGATGTGACATTGGTTGAATTTGTGCTGACATTTGTGTAGCTCCCCTCGCTGTTTGTGTTTGATTCATTGGGGGGCACTTGGCTTGAGTTGGCTCGAAGGATTGCTCCTGCTGCACTGCAGTGTGGCCGTGGCCCCGGTTCTGGTGTGTAGGTAAAGGTAAGGCTGGTGGAATAAATGATTCCATCATTTCGGACCAAAGTTACTGGAACCTGAACTGGCTGCCGGACCCATCTCCAACCTTCTCGGAATGCAGAAATGTCTGGGACAACACAGAGCATACTCTCTCCACATCTGAGGAGGAAATATATATCACTTAAAAGCGAGGCAAATTTTAGAAGTGAAACTTAGAAACTAGGTTGTTTAATATATTACAATTGGAATCAGGAAAGAATCTCATTTACCCACCCCCGCCACAAACTGTGGATAATGTAAAGTTTTGTCAAATACCTGTACATAGTTTCCGCTTCTACATCCCCAAACCACACTCGTAAATTTGGAGTGAAATTCTGTCCTGTAAGTTCAAGCATTGCTACGTCCCCACCGCCATTCAACTGCAATTCACAAAAAATCAAAACAATTTCATTACTCATTACAGCGCGCAGATTAGTTTTTCATTCAATTATCATTTGCAAAAAAATGAATAATTAAAATGCTTCTTTTAAATGACATGATTATAAAGACAGAGTGAGCTAAAAACATCAAGAGAATATACAAGTTGGTTTTAAGTTTATTATTTCCATATTTTTAAAACAAATGATGTAACTAAATCCCCAAATCACAGGATTTAGAGAAATATCAAAATTATTCTGAAAAAAAATTTGCCAAGTCATAGCTAAGAGAAATTGCAAATAAATAAAAGGCAACTTGTGAGTAAGTGGTCTCACCTGAAGACTTTCTACGACAGGCACAGGTGTGACAGGGGCAAGGACAGGGCCCATCCCCTCATAAAAGGTATACTCTGCCTTATCCGTACTAATGATTGTCCAGGAAGCTCCATCATTTATCATCTCTTTATTTGGTTCTTTTGGGCATGGAGTGGCCTTATGAAGAAAGAATGTTTAGAAACTGAGTTTTACATGCATTATAGTATAAGACAATTTTAACAAGTAACACTCACAGACTAGAGTTAACATGGCGAGAATTTAGTACAAATTTATAAACTTCCCAAGCATGGTCCTTTGCCAATTCTTAAATAAACATAAATAGAATATTAACAAGAAAACCTTACATAGAGTAGTTATTATAATATGAAATATTTCAGTGACATATTAACTTATAATACCTTTCAGAATAACCATTTAAGAGTGCACCAGCACCTGTATAATTTCTTAAATAAAAGATCAGTATCTGTGATGTGAATAGCTGCTTAAAACTCTTTAGGGATCCCTAAGAAAGAGAGAGAATAGGTGCCTCTACTGCTCAGAAAACAGCTAGAAACTTATGCATTTTCTAAAGGAGTGACCCAGACATGAACTAAAAATCCCCAACTGCTACCTTAAGACACGTAGACCAGTCCATCAGTGCTGGGCTGAAACGGCTGTGTGGCCGTCTCCCTGGAACAGATCTCCAGATGTTTACAAAGAAGTTTCACATCAAAGTATAACTCTCCTATTAAATCATTTGCCCATGTCGTAAATGTCCTGATGAAAGCCTTCTGAGTAAATGTAGTTAAAAATAGCTTTTGAAATATGTCGTCATTGCTATCTTGGAAGACCTCAATATAAATGTGATGAGAATTATGAATCCTCTCCCAAAATATGCATGCATCTACACACAATGTGTGCACAGAGCTCTCGTGGACTCTCTGAACATCCAACACCGATTTTTAAATAATCTGAAGGGCTTTCCCCCAAAACTAGATGCTAATTGTTTCTCTGAGAATGTTTTTGCATTGAGTTCTTCCCTGAGGTAGGATGCCTGCCATGTCTGAGGGCCGTGTGGGTTAAGGATCCTGGAACTTGAGATAAATATCTAAACACAGTTTCATGTATCTGGATACAATTAATACTGAACAAGAGGTTCATGTTTCTGTGTAGTCTACACATTTTAGATTTCACAAGTAATTTAAAAACATACCTGAAACTGAATTATTCTTTCTTGTGAAAGGCACAAGTACATTCTTTCTGTATCCTTAAGGTAAAATGCACATTTATGGAGTTGTGACACAGGATCATCTGCATCCAGTAATGCGGTCTGCTTATCAACTTTCCTAATTATCTATATTTCGACAATTAAAAAAAAAAAAAAGTCATCATATATGGAGAATTCTTGTTATATATAATGTCAAGAGTACACAGGAAGCTATGTAATACATCTGTTATTTGTCATATACCTACATATACAAAAACATTTACAAACAATAAGACTAAGTTAAAAATACTTTTAGATTGCAAGCATGTTAGAATGTGGAAGTAGTTAATTTGTTCCATGAACATCTGAAAGATAGGGCAAGTAAACACTTGTTTTCTAGATCAGTCCATTTCAAACTTTAATGTGCTTATAAATCATCTAGGGTTCTTGTTAAAAATACATCTGTTCTGACCCTACAGATCTTGTGTGTGGCCTCCCAATCTGTATTTTCAACAAATATCCAGCAGTTAATCCTGTTGGTCTATATGAGTAGCAAGTTCAGATGACTTTTCCAATAAAATACAATGGCAAATAATCCAACATCAAAGGAAAAACCATCTCTAAAGGCTAACATGGGTGTAGCAGTCAGTGCAGTCCATTATCCAACATCCACTAGCTATCATTTTTCAGATTAGAAATGGGCTCAGAGAGGTCAGTTAAGTTCCTCGAAATCACCTAGTTGGTAGCTGAGGGACTGAGTCCAGAGCTGGCTGCCTGCCCAGCCTGAACTCTTTCCATCACATTACAAGCTTATAATCCAAATATTCCACAAAACATACATGGATATCTGAAAGATAATCCTACCAAACCTTAGATGTCACTTGTCACATAGAAGGTCATCACTAAGTGTTTGATGATTATGAAGATCACTCCCAACAGCATACAAACATGTTATAACTATCTAAAATCAAAAGAAAACCCTTCCTTGTCTACTGTCTCTGTGCCTCCCCCTTACCACCCCATTTACCTTTCCCCCTTTATAGAAAACTCCTCTTTCTTACCATCCAATCTCCTCAACTCTCCAGCCTTTTGTCTCAAAGCATCCATATCATTGCTTGTCAAGGCCACCAAGACTTCCAGACAGATGAATCCCATGGGCATTTCTCTGTCCCCATCTTAGCAGCTTTCTCAGATGCATCTGACACAATCTCCTTTCAAGGAGACCCTTGCTCTAAACGGCCTTTACAGGCCCTAGAGCCAAGTCCTCAAACGTCTTCTGCTCTCTCCATACCCCATACTTTCCAGACTAGAGGCTGCCAACTCCCAAATTTAAATCTGCAGCCCTACCTACTCTCCTGCACTCAACTTGTATATTTAACTACTTAGTCAATAGTTCCACTTAAGATGTTCGCTTTCTCAATCTTAATCAAAAACAGAATTTATTTCCTCCTAAATGTGAACATTCCCCAGCTCAATCAAAGGCACCATCGTTCACTCAATTCAAAAATCTTGCTGCCATCCTTGACTCCTTGCTTTCTCTTACACCCCACCATCCAATCTTTCGACAAATTCTGATGGGCCTACTTTCATATCAGTCAGTCACTTCTCATGCCCTTACTACTATAATGCCAGTCTAAGATAATATATATCATCAACTCTTGCCTGAATTGTGGCAAAAGCCCAACTACCTGTCTCTCTATTTCCACTGATACACCCTCATGTTCCCTTCTCCACAGAGCAACCAGAATTATCCTTCTAAATAAATATCAGACATTTCTTGTTTAAAACCCTCTAGTGGCCTCCTATCATACACAGATAATATAAAGTCTTTACTCTAGATTAGCGGTCTCCAACCTTTTTGGCACCAGGGACCGGTGCTCCTATGAGAATCTAATGCCTGATGATCTGAGGTGGAGCTGAGGCGGTGATGCTAGTGCTGGGGAGCGGCTGCAAATACAGATGAAGCTTCACTCACTCACCCGTCGCTAACCTCCTGCTGTGCGGCCTGGTTCCTAACAGGCCATGGGACCGGTACCAATCCACGGCTCAGACGTCTGCTCTAGACACAGAGGAACTTTACAAGATAACGTCTCTGATTACTCCAAAACACTATGCAAATTCTCTATCCATCCTTTTCTAACCTGCCTTTTTGATCATTTGTATTAACCTTTTAATATATTATATGGGTATTTCTTTAGCTGATTTTTGATTATCTCCCTATCAAAATGTAAGCTCCATGAGGACAGGAAGTCTGTCTTGCTCACCTGGCACACCGAAGGTTCATGACAATTTGCATTATGCATGTGTGCATGTAGGACTGTAATACTTTGCTCAGAGTTCTGTGAGGATTGATTAATATATATGTAAAGGTACTTAGAACAGTGCTGTTAATATTATGCACTACTGCTGACTTTTATCACTTGATTCACATCTCACTTATGTCCAAAGGTTTTTCTTCAGCTAAGCCACAGCTATAAAAAGTCTCAATCTTTAAGTTAACATTCTTCATATTTACACATTTTTAGCTCTGTAGTTTAATAGAATTTGTCATTCTACTTATACCGCCACGAATTTTTGAGTTTAAAGGGAGCCAGTACACTTTAGCAATTTTAGCTTCTAAGCTAGTCTATAAGACTAATTAAGCTTGAGCAAAATGTTTCAATTCAATGCTAAAATCTTAAAGCTGTATTTAAATTTAACAAGGATTTTAGAGAAATTATTAATTTTTGAATGGTGTAAGTCTAAAGCTTCCTATAAGTGCACAAGCACTCACTTGTGCTTCTCCCATCACGTAAGAGGCAAGACTTGTCTACGGCACCATTGCCTGCGTACCCGCTGCTTCCCCACAGCAAGTAATAACAACCACATCAAGGACAGTGGCCACGCTGGGTTCAGTTTTATTCCCCACAATTAATTCTCTGCAGGAAGACACTGCTGAACATCCTAGCTCTCACCACTAAAGAAACCAAAAATGTCCACTACTATTTGGCATCAAAAACTTGCTTTGATCCTTTCTAACTACTAAGAGGAAAGAAATCTGAGAAACCAGGTAGTATGAATGTCATAACTTAAGCTATGTGTGTAGTGAATTCTACATTCATTAAATATGAAGGGTTACTCCAACCAGCTCTCTCTCCTCTATGCTGACTTTGTAAATTGTTGGTACAGTATTTACCATATTTCTGAGGTAAACTAGATACAGCCCTTAAGAACAATAAACATATCTTATCTGTATTCCTAGCACTGTGCCTGTTAAGTACCCAGTAAATGTTGACTAAGTTTATCTTACTGATTAGCTTATCTAACAGATTTTTAAATGTCCCCACACCTCTGGAGTGTCTGACAGCCTTGTGGATGTGGGGTAGATGACTGACTGGTATTTCTGGTTAGTGGCTAGACCTACATAGAATGCACCTGTTTTGAGAGGATTTCTCACTAGAACATTTATCACATTGAAACTTGGTCTTAGAGAGACACTGTTTTCCAAGAAAAAATCTCCAATAAAGCTCACATTCTAGAAAGCATTTAAAGCACCTTTTAGGTATTAAGGCAGTATTAGACTTCTCAAAAGCATATGAAAGCTACAAACGCCTCCTATGAAAAATACGCCTTCACTGAAAACTGTAAATGGAGGTGCAGGGGCACGGCAAGTGCTGCAGACTGTCTAAAGCCTATCTATGACTTTGAGGAAACTAATTCCTCACTCACAGAACTTCCAGAAAGACGTATTTACCAGTATGTTAGAAAAGCACTGCAGCTTTTTGTAAGGCAGCCTTTTAAGGGCAACATTTTTATAATTAGAGCCACGCAGTTTTGAGTGCTGAAAATATTCAATTAAAGATGACTTTCAAACAATGCAGACCACTGGTCTTTACATGAAACTGTAAGCGAAACACTATTTTTAACATCTGAGTCTAACTCTTACAAGTAGTTCATATATAAGCCATTACTGATCAGAGGCATAAGCCTCTGAATTGTGCTTCTGTGGTACAAGCATTTAATGCCAGAGTAGATAAGCGTTATCCTCAGAACAGAGTGACACATAATGAATAAGAGTAGAACTCAAATAAATGTCGATTTGGTTTGGTTTGTTTGTGTTTTTCCCTTTTTTATATTCTTTTTTCCCTACCTTTACCCTTTTTATTATAATGTCTCAGTTTCAAGGTTTTATAAATTAATATTACTACACATATTTTATATTAAGTTGAAATGAAAAAAAAAAATCACCTTGTACAATCATGACATAGAAAAAAAAAGAGAAAGAAATGATATTTACTTAGATAATAACAGATCAACCTAGTCCCTGCTGAAATAGTCCCAGAAAACATAAGCCAATGAATATTTCACCAAAGGAATAAATATAAAGCCATATTAAGGAACAGTAATACTAAACGTTCTCCCATTCACCCAACCCTCTCAATCAGACCTTGAATTAAACTTACTCGTAAAGTCTCCTCCATCTTTAACATAACTAAATTGTATTAATTTTTAGAAAAAGAGGGGAATTATGGGGGAAGGAATAGAAGGGGCTTTTGCTTTCATTTTGCTAAGAAAAGTAGTTTTTAAAGTTTCGTGATCTTCCTAGTGAAAAAAAGAAGCCCAAAATGCATACTGCCTCTTCCAGGGTAAGAAATATCAATTTAATTTTTAATAAATCTATCTTCTTGTGAGAAAGTAAAATAGTAAAAATTATGCTTTTATTTCTAAAGAAATACAAATGTCAATGCATTTGAAAACTTGGTCCTATGTTGGGATGCAGCAGGTACTACAAAAAATGAATACAGTGGATCTGCATTAAGAAATCATAATGTAATTTTATAGTGCCCTCTATTGAACATGTTCAGATATACAACCAAAAAAGGAAAAGAGCACCAAAACTTATTAGAAATAACACAACAGGAAGTTGTTAAGAATGCAATCATAAAGACTGGCTAATTGTCTTGAAGTATTTTTTTAAATAAGGTGGGGAACCACTGTCAATTATAAATAGCAGTGATCACTGATACCACTTTTTAAATTAAAAAGCATGAAACTGAGGTATATTTTTACATTTGAATGTTGTGGTTTTTCTGTTTTCTTAATTTTTACTACACATATTACTAAAGCAAAAGTAGGACCCATACCAGTCTCGGGAGTGCCATGCCAGTAACCGAACATACAAGTTTGACCGTTTGTCCATAATGGATATAGCCATCACGAACCGTGAATTCTTCTCCTTCTGATTCATCATCATCCACTGCAGTGGAGCAGAAAGAAAGATCAAATTATTGTCTTTTAGAATTCATTAATCTGCTAAGGAGAACAACAAAACAATAAATCCCTATGTCTTATTATCAAAAGGAATTTAACAATTTCACACTAAAAACATTAAATGCACATTTTTATACTCACAGAGATGAATGTAAAATGCTCCCCACTGCTGAGAACTGGCATGGAAATTACCTCCTTCGACATGTAAGTACCTGGTGCTAACTGTCTGGGATCGAAGTCGATTAAACAGAGCCACCTTTGTTCCAGAGGCAATGCATACTGCAGAGGAAAAAACAGCTCTTGTTTACATGAAAATATGAGACAGAGGAACATTTAATAGGAAAAATGACCCAGTTTCTTCAACGAATAAATGATAAGGAAAAAAGGCTGGATGGATGGGGAGAGAAGAAACTATTACAGATTAAAATGTATAAATGTTGTTTGGATCCAGTTTTGAATAAGTCAAATGTTAAAATAACCACGAAAACACAACTATAAAATGATATTTCTGAGACAATGAGATAAATATGCACATGGATTGGCTTTTAGATGGCATCAAAGAGCTGTCAAAGTTGTTACATATAATGATGTTTAAAAAGAAAGTTATCTGTTAGAGAACTACTATTGAAAAATGGTGGTTGAAAGAAAGGATAGGATGTCTGAAATTTACATTAAAATATCTCGGCAGGTGGAAGAGGAAGAGGAGTTAGTGGTTGAGGTGATAATGAAACAGTTGGTAAAAACCTGTTGAGGCCCGGTGGATGGTCACCTTACGTTATTGTCTCCATTTTACAAGTTTGAAAGTTTTCATAATAAAAAATCAAAATTAAAAAAAAAAAAAAAACGGGTGTAGGGGTTGCGATATTTAATTCAAATAAACAGCATCTGTCTTTGGTAATCTAAAAATGTGCTGATGAGACAGCAGTTTCTGTCAGAGTAATCATGTTAAGAATTTTGTTTACATTCTCAGGACCACCTTCCAAAGCCCAAGTGATACAAGTGTTTCTCAGAGGTGCTTTTAACACTCTTGGTAGATCAATTCTTTGTGGAAAGGGAAGTACCTTCACCCAACCGAGACATTCAATGCTAATATCACTCCCTCCCTCACTTTAACTAACTGCAAGAAGTAAAAGAGCTTCCATTTTTCCAAATGCCTCTGGGGAGCAGTGAAGAACTCTGAAAACGACTTCCTTAGAGCAGAAGGTATTGTCCATTTTTTCTCTATTGCAATAGTACTGAATCTATCTTTACTACTTTAAACTAGTGTCAAGATGTTTCTCTTTAACACCTCCAATTTACAGAAAATACATTATACTACACCAAGGAAATGAACTTAGCAAAATCCGGCATGTGAAAATCTCTTATGTACAACCCCCTTCTCACCCCAAAGACAATAAAGCAGCAATAATAAATGATCTTGACATTTTCAGATAAAGTGAGGGACACAAAAATATTAGTAAAGAATGAATTGGCTATCAAAAAGTAATTTTTAATTAAAAAAAAAAACCAGTTCAATTTATCTTATTAATTTGTGGTAAAAGTTAGGGACAAAAAAAAGAAACCTGAAGTAAACATACAGTCAGCATTTTTCAACGACTGCTTCTTTTTGGAAGGTTTGGAGATGACTTTTATCCGCTTGCTGAGGAACACACCGATGTCATCACTGTTGCCATAGAACATCTTCACAGACAACATGAAGTGCTTTCTCTTGTCGGAATCAGATATGTACAATGTTTTGGCCGTGCAATAGTTCTGTGAAAGGAAAGTTTTAATAGCACCAAAACCTTGCTGGTTATGTACCTATAACTCAGTATGGCCGTGACTTGGTTTGATCAAACTTAAATGCAATAATTTCAATGAAGAGCTGATAAAACCTACTATAACAATTACTGAAATTAATTTCTGAAGACAGTACGGTCTCTCTTATCAAGTAATAAAATACTAACATTTTACCCTCTAAAAGACTTTTTAAAAACAATCTTTCCTTGTTTCATATAGTTCTACATCTATATCACAGAATTATCAATACTACAGTGTTAATTTAAACAAAAAGAATTTTACTGTAAAGAAAACATATAAATAATGCTATCGGAATTTAATCGAATTACAGATTAAATGATTAATCGAATTACAGATTAAATGTAGAAAATTTTAGGAGTGGTTCTTCCCAAAACAGTTCACATACTGCGGACACTAGAGTAACCACCTGTATGTCTGAGGAAAACAATGTCAGTGCCAACTGGACACGTATAAAACATCTTATACTGGAAATGGTTTATATGAGTATACTTTAAAGCACTCTTTTGCCCAGTGAGATCATTCATACTGTATTACCAAAAGAACTGAATTTAAAGGTACTAGAAAAACTAAACACAGCAAGATATGATGTCAGTTTCCTGGAAAATAAATGCTGATACATATATGATAATTATAAAATATTTCCTATTCCCTTGGTCTCTGTGAGTTAGGGAAGGGACTAAATTATTGATCTCTTTTTCTAGATTGGATAAATGATGCTTAAATACAGCTTAAGAATTTAAAATATCTGAATTATATTTTTTAAAAGATCAATACTTTAAAATTGGGCTAAATCAGTCTCTTTCACTTCTTCTGCTGTGTATTTCTTTTAAAAAGCAGGGCAAATGCCACTCATTTAAGAAATAAGCTAATGTGTTCTAGGTTTTTAATCTTTAAGTTTTACTTACAGGAAATTTTAGTAGAACAAAAATAATGCCATAGTTTATTTCATTTCTCAAAAGCAAAGATATATAAGAAAATTTAGATGCCATCTTAAATAATTTATACTCAATTTTAAGTTTTTATAAACCCAAAAGTGTGGTAAAAGCCATGAGACTTTGCTCTATAGAAGACAGAATTAAGATAAAACTAATCATAGTACATAGTAATAAGAAAAATAAAAACAACAGCACTTTGCATTCACACAGATCCTTTCACCCAAAGATCTCCAAGCGCTTCAGAGATGCTGTGGTGGGAGCCATGAGTAAATACTTTAAAAAGCACTGACGGTCAAATTAAGCCTAAACTATGAAATTGTTCTGCAACGTAAGACAAAGCCTAGGAAAATGGGTTATCAATATTCTAAAGCAGACAGTCAGATGAACAAAAATGAAATATGTACCTAAATGAAGGCAATTACATTCTAATGGGAAGATTTTAAAATGTTAAGATCACTAATTTGAGTGTTAACATTAAGGGATATGATCAATATCAGAAAAAAATAATGAAACAGCAAAAATAACAAGATAGATTTGCAAAAAGCAAAGGAAAAAAGACCAGAGAAGGTTGGATCTGCACACAATGGGCATTATTTTGTTTAGAAAAAGCGAACACACATATATGTCCTTGGAAAAAAGGGAAATATATGCCTAATTACAAAAAAGATCATACCTGAGATAATTTTATTAGAACTATCAAAAAAAGAAATACAAGGCCACTGACCATGAACTAATCAATTTTCATAAGAAAAAAAGAAGTCGCTGACTCAAAAAGAAGTATTGTGGTTTTAATAAAGTAAATAAAAACTAAAGTTACACTGGGCTAAATTAGCTAACAAAATCCTAGAAAATGGCATATAAGTCTTTTTATAAATAATGAAAAACAACTCAAACATTTGCCTTGAAATGAAAAATACCAGATCTAACACTGCAAAAGTACTGTAGAAATATTTAAATAGTAAAATTTGAATTATAGAAACAAAATAAAGCTAGCAAGAGAGGTATAAGGGATGTAATTTTTTAAAATAAGAAAAGCACAAGTGTTCTAATTAGGTAAATAATTCACATGTTGTACAGCTTACCTAGCTCCAACTATGTAAGATGTAAAATTGAGAAAGTAAATATTTAACAAATTAATAACACCATTAATGAAATCTCAGATCTAAAATATGGTCAAATGTCATAACCTTTATAAAAATAAGGGCTACATATACTAGAGCTCTGCTGTAGTGAATATTAAAATAAAAATACGCAATAATGTAAAATAAATATTCCTTCTTTTTCAGTAATGATGAATTGTACCATTCAGTAACAGACTGTTAAAAGAAAATACGATTGCCTTAAATGAATAGAGGTTCTCTGAGACAGGAGCAAAGTGTTCTTTCTGAAACTAAGCATCCCCACGGCTTGGGCCACCTTTGCCTACCTGGCCCCAACCATAACCATCTTCTTATGCCTTTATGCCCCAAGCACATGATGATGTTGTTCTTACTGCCTGGAACGCCTTCTGTTGACTCTGAACAAATCTTATTTTACACAGACTTCTCTAATAGCATTTTTCATTTCAGCTAAATATTAACATATGATTCTGGCTTATAAGCACTGTACTATCTTATGAGTAGGTTTTTAATATAATATTAATGCTTGAGCTCTCTCTCAAGTATTCCTTTCCTCTTCTGTGAATTTCTAGGGCTTGGGGAAAGGATATAATGGTAAAGTTGAAGCTATACTCAGCTGTGACGCTGGGAAAGGCAAGTGGGGATGCTGTTTGGTATCACTCCCCTTAAAACTGTTGAGAGCTAGAATTGGTTAAAGAGAGCAGTGAAGTTCAATTAACATAGTTAAATACATTGGTTGCTAGAATCCCTGGCTTCTAATTACATCTAATAATTATTCATAATACCAAATGTCGAGATGTAAGCTTGGAGATAAATAACTCTGAGACTTTCTACATAAGAGGAAAATAGATGAGATATAGCTAAGGCCTACTGGATCAACTCACCACTTAAATATATCCTTTGGCCCAAAGGTCATAATTTAGAAATACTTTTTACTGCTTTTTTAAGATGAAACAACGTTTATTGTAATGTTTTATCGCAAACCTAATTTGAAATGCATAGTTGACAAGCCTTACTGTTAAAAATTATAAAGATACAAATGACATAAAATATTCAAATTTGGAGAAGGTTGATATTAAGGCTTCTAAGTGCTCATTATCTGTAAAATGACTAAACTCAAATCTGAGAGTACAAATCCCCAGCTCACTACCCTCGGCGTTACCCTCCAACCCCCTTTTCCCAGTGCTAACTACTAACACAGCAAACACTAAAATAGTCAATAAAGACTTACTGAATAAGGAAATAGTTTTTAATGCACTGTTTTAAAAGGCATTCATGTGGTCATCAAGACCAGTACTAACCATTTTCCAAATTTTAATAACAAGGGAAAACAAAATAGTTAAATGCTAACTCAATAAAGAACTATTTTTGAATACTATAAAGGTACAGATTGAAATGATTGTTTCTAAATTTGTAAGTTATAATTAACAAAACTAATTCATAAATTTCATTCCCTAGCAAATTAAAGAAAATCCCTAAAAGTTTGAGTCAAGCCAATTTTGCAGCTGTTCTTGTCTATAGTGTAGCTCTACTCCACAGGTTAGGTAAAACGTGTGTGTATGATCTTTATAATCCAGGTAAATGCTTCTAAAATTTTTCAAATCTGTATCACTTTGCTTCCAATATAAGATTAAGATTAAGAGAGTCGAGTAAAATATTACTGAATTATGTATTTTCATTGTTATTTGAGCATAATGCTCCTATCAGATTGATGAGCGATTGGCCTCCTAAACTTATTAATGCCAACAGAAAGCTTATTCACAGCCTGCTAAAACTGCCAGCAAGTTGAGGAAGCTTACTGTGTGCTACCATTAGGTGTCAACAGCTCAAGCTCTATGCATCATCATTAGACCACAGCTATTCAAGAAGTTTGTTTCTGGTTCTGATCTATATATTTTAAAAACTGCTACCAACAGCCATGGGTCGGGGTGGAGGTGTGGGTGTGCAGATCACACCAAAAACAAGGAAGAAAACTACATTCTGGTACCATGGTGCCCTTTATGGGGAACCAATACAACCTTATCTCACCTTTCCTTCCAAGTTCAGCTGCTGCATTTCTTGGTCACTATTTCCTATTCCAATAAATGCACATGGTTGAGACTCTTGTTCGGAACAACCATCACGCTCCATTTGTTCTTTTTTTTTCTTCCATCCACTGCCCATAAGATACACACAAGGAGGAGGGCAAAAAAACCTGAAGCAAAACAAAAACAAAAACATGCAGTTAGATTCAAGAAAGCTCTTCCTTGTCTTGAATATAAGAATATAAAATCATATCGAATTGCACAAAGCTCCTAAAGGAACTGCTCCTAAGGAAACATTTTGAGTGAAGCCTTTTATAATGCAAACCAAGAAATCAAGACTTCCATAAAGACTACATTTGTTCAGGTTAAGGTTCATCTGTATTGGAGTTATGCTTTTGGTTAGACTAGATACTTTTTAGGAACTTCTCTTTAAATTTCCAATAACTCAGAGTTCTGAACTTTTAGAGTTCAGCAAATCCGATATACTCTAACATGTTACAAAACATGATATACCACTACAGAATGTGCAATTACTGAATAAAGTCTACTCAAAATGATATATTATTAATTGACATTATTGGTATAGATATTACTTAACTTTATTTGGTAATTAATCTAGAAAATAGGATTAGAGCAATGCCCAAAATAGAAACTTTCAAAATAGTAATAAAACTAAATAGAATTAAAAGCAAAATGGATTAATGAATTACTATGCTTTATATATCTTACACCCTGAACACCTGATACATGTGGATAACTGAAAGAATAACTGTATCCTTTCAACTCATAGACTATGCAGATTTGTTTCGTTAATTTCCAAAAACCTCCCCTCACAAATTCTTCCCACCTAGATAGAATGACATCCTTATAATCTCTTTAGCAATTAAAAAATATCTATTTCAAAGCCTAGTACAAGCCCCATATTTTACATATAGGTTAGACCATTAATCCAGTCCTTATGTAGGGTGTAATTTGTTTTGCTCAGTTACACACGCTGATTTGTACTTACTTTAAAACATTTACGCCAGGTCACATAAAGGGAACTGAAAGCTCAAATACCTACTCAAATGGTAGCCAAGTAAAATCAAATAGTAGCCAGGTAAGCAATATAAATGGGTGAACCACATGTACAATACATACATGGGAATATCTTTTAATTATCCAAAGAAGTAAGTTCCCTCCCTTCCTTCAAAACACACAGCCCTCATGGTAAATACAACTTCTGTATAGTTATGAGTATGGGAAAATTTTTCTTAATTCTTTTAAGCCCACTGTAAGATAAACAAGAGCTTCAAGAGCTTAAATGCAATGATAATTAGCCACTGGTGTGTGACTCTGATGGTAAGCAAACAACAGGAGACGGCCAGCCCAAGGGTACACACCCACTCATTCCCAATGCTGAACTACGGGCATGTGGGCCGGGTGTTCATCACATCCTCCAACTGGTCAATAGATGCCTGAAGTCAAATTTTATACGTAGTTCCTAATTTTAAAATACGGTCACTAATTTATGTTTTTTAACACTTTGTAAACCAAGAATGTGCAGACTTAAAAAAAAAAAAAAAAGCACTGCATGTGTGCATAAATGTATATGTGCGCACACAGACACCCTGGGCTGGAATGGGCGCTCAGGCCTTCCTAAATGTAGTAATACCTACTTTTTATTTGCTTCCCACTCAGCGCCTACTACAATATTGATTGAATTGAATCAAACTACATGATACCACCTGCTTTTTGTTCAACTTTTAAAGTCTACTTTAGAGGCAATTTACATATAATTTACAAGAAGTCGGCTGGGTTTATTTAATATTCATTAATTCACTAAATAATTTATTACATTCCTAGTCTGTACCAGGCGCTAGAAATATAGTTTAAAAAAGACAAAAATTCCTATCCTGATGCAAGTTACACTCTAATAGGTTTAAAAAAAAGATAAATGAGTAAAATGATGCATATATCCTCTTAGCTGGTGATAAATTCTGAAGGGAAAAAAATAAAGGAAAGAAGGGAGTACTAAAATGTTGAAGAACCCTGGCCGGGGAAAGCTTCCTTAGGAAGGTGATCTTGAATCATAACCTAAAGCCATGGGTGTCTGGAAGGAAGAGCATTGCAGCAGAGGGAAGAGCAAGTGCAAAAGCTCTAAAGTAAGCAGGACTACCATGAAGAGGGGGAAAACAAACAGACCAGGGAGGCCAGTGGAGAGGAGGAGAGAACAGATGAAGCCAGAGATAACGACAAAGTGAGCCAAGGAGGCCCTTGGGGGTCAAGCTGAGTGAGGAGGGAAGCCTCTGGGATCTTCTCATATTTATCCAAACCATCCGAGCAGCTTTCATGCTTACACACTCTCACTGTGGCCACGGACACAGAGGTCACAGCCAAGGCAGTAGGCTCTGTTCCAGGTCACTCCAAGTTTGGAGGGATGCCTGAATTAGCTGGGCTAGTTCTGGAGCAGGCTCAATTCAGGTTACACCAAGGATCTTTCTGGCTGGCCTCTAATGCTGGGAGCTATCCAAGGCTTGCCATGGCACAGACTCAAATACCTAGCTGGCATATTCTCAGGAGATTGAGATGACATCAATTTGGGGAGCTTGTTTCCTATTAGTATTTTACTGAACACTGATATTAAGACTCCTTAGTAAGTTAGTATACCAGCTATAAAATTCAAAGAGCTATGCTTTAGCATAATGTACCAAATAGAGCAGTCAAATCTCCACACACTGTCATAAAAGGATACTTTTATTTCACATCTGAAAAATATAAGGACAGTGAAAACTGTAAAAGACAGGGTAGTGCCGATTCTCTCAAAAGTACTATGATAAAATGACATGAAAAGGCTGGCAAAAAATTCTTTATCACTAAACACTGACTATCAACTTTCTATACTGAAAGTGCTTTTCCAATCATGTAGTAAATAATAAAAATGAAGACTCTTCAACTGCTTCTGAGCTAGCCTTGTTTTTTTAATCAATTCTAACACTATTCTAAAGTCATGATGCGAGAAAGCAGCAAGTCCAATATAATCTAAACACCGAGATTATTTCCATAATGTGATGAAGTCATATTTTTAAAATCCCAATATTGCTATCCCCCGAAAAACAGCTAAAGAATCAAATTTTTATTTCCATAGACTTTGGTAGTAATATAACAAAAAAGAAGATAAGCACACATACAAAAAAAGAGGAAGAACACAGGCAAAATAAATTAAAGGGAGTGGAGATAAGAAAAAAGCCACCTAATTAACAAAAGAAAAATTAAAATATACCTTTACAATGAGGTGTGAAATAGATTTTTTGGACAGTTGGTTGGTTAATATGTACCAAGCACTTAGTGAATGAAAAGTTTGCCCATCAAGTGGCCAGCTTACAGAGTTTAACAGCTGCTATAAAAGGATATCCTTTCAAACAACGTGCCTTTATTTTCTAATCTTTCCCAGTAGCTATAGCTAGGCAACTATAACAAACAATGCCTTTTTCTGCCACTTGGTGGCAATATGCACACATTTATGATTTTATTCGTTTCCTAGTTCAATCAGTCTTTATTTTCAGAGAATGACTCAACAACTTTTTTCTCAAATCCTGAGGTCAAATCTTGAAAATACCTTATAGATTCAAAGAAGCCTTTTTATTCAGTCCAATATATAAAACAAGATAGGTTAGATGAAACTCAAACACAACATTTACATTATCTATCTTTGCAGACTCATTACCCTTTAATGATTAGTCAATTCAAAAGCAAAAAAATAGGAACTGCTTGTACACACATCAGTTAACACACATTCTCAGTACTTCGGAACCATAGTTCAATTGTCCAAATGGTTTTACTGTTGTCTCAACAGTGTCACCCTCACTTTCACTACTGCTTAATTACTTCCCTTGAAAAAGTGTCAAATAGCATTTCCATTTCTTTAATGGAAATTTTCCTCTAGACAAAATCTTTTTAGATGTTTATTTTTCAACCTTGAAAGATCTTTAATGAAAAAGCAAAACTAAGCATTAATATAAATGAGATGGCAGATGTGCCAAGCAAATATTTGTTATTAGGCGTAAAAGTTAGTATAAAGAATTAGTTTATTGTTTCTACCTAGCAGTACATGTCCGCTTTAGAAACTTTAATAACTCAAACATGTAAAAATGTAGGCAAGTAGTTACTCTATTTTTCAATCATTTTTTCTTCATTCTTTGGGTTAGAAACTTAGATTCTTCCAGCTTTCTTTTGACTGATGTTTTAGACTGGCCAGGCCATACCCAAATAATATAAAGATACTGAAAATACAGGCAACCACAATAAAAGATAACCCTTAAAACACCTATTTTAACTTGATAAGCTACTATAGCTTCTTACTCATGTATTTTTAACAGGGACTAAGAAATAGGAACCTTATCTGTACTTAGATGTAATTTTTTGAGTAGCTCTTCCTTCTGTTATCTCCACTGGGCCTGTTATCTGCCAATACTAGTCGATGACATAATAACTTCTAAAATTCCCAGTAAAAATCCTTTTGCATAATATCTGGCACCTAACTGGTCACCAGAAATAAAGAATAAATGAGTTAATGAATGAATCCAACTGTACTAAAGGCATCTTTAAAAATCCAGAGAAGGAAAGCAGCCCAAGTTGGCAGCAATACAATAAATACACATGTAATCGTATTTCCATTAGATCCATCCCAGTCACACTCAGCTAATGGTAAAGGGGATAATCCTAGGCAAAGTTTAAAAAGTTTGTGTTCTTTTGGCATCTTAACATCCTCATCCTCAAGCCCTGATTTAAATAACCAACACTCAGACATAAAAAATGGAAGGCTATGAAAATTTAGGACAATCAAAAGAATGTGAAATTTGAAATTATAGACCCAGGAGTTCTAATCCTGGATACAATGATTCCTAACTAAGGTGAATCTGGGCATGTGTAAAATCTCTGTCTCTAGTGTCCCCACTCACAGAATGGGGATTATAACATGCCTATTTTCAAGATTATTCAGAAGAGTAAAATTTAAAAACGTGTGTAAAAGCATTTCCAGAACAATGCCTCACTCTTGACTGAGAAACTGTTCCTTATTCAAATTAACTGTGAGGTGCAAGGGTGGCCTAATTTGAGAGTCGTCTCAAGTAATGAGACGACTATAACAATAACAACAACAAACAGATGATTTGCTATGTACACACAGTCAACTTCATTATTAAAAACACACACACACACACACACACACGCGAGTATTTCCAGAATCATCTTCGGAAAAAAGAGGCCACCATCTCAATTTGGTTTCTATGTCCCAAACTGCAGATACCAACTTCTTCCAATATTTAACTACAAATCAGATGATTAATTTCTATTAGAGAAGTTAGATAAAATAATCAGAAATTTAGTAAACTTGAATAATGATAAAAAACAACACCTGGCAGTATGAGTCCTAACTGATGTTTTCACTTGTTCACCTTCTTTGAAGATAAAATTATCAATTAAATATCTTCACCTTCTTTTCGGCTGAGATTTAGAGAACTTTTAATTAATTATATACTTAACATTTCCCTTCTCTTATACATATGCTAAAGATAAAGGTTTCCTTTATCTCACAAACTCTAAGATTCCACTCATTCCTTTCAACCCAACACCCAAACATGAGTTTTCATTCCTTTTCTCACTTTAGTTTGGTACCTTTCTTTAGCCAATCCAAAAAAATCTTTCATCTTTCCCCACAAACAAGCCTTTGTCCATGAAATGCTCAACAGAAAAATGCTGTCTGCAAGACAAAGACTAGAAAAATTATTAACGAGGAAATTCTAGGAATTAAGTGAAAAAAACAAACAAGAAAAGTCTACAACCATACAACAAAAATGCTGACATTTATAAGATACTGTGACAAATTCTAAACATGAAGATTACTTTGTTATATTTTTGGCTTATCTGATTTGTAAGTCTTTTGTGTAGTACCCATATTCATGCAGTATGAGAGTTCCAAATCGGTTTTGCCTTTTTTCCCTTAATCTGAATAGGCACAGGGTCAAGGTTGGAAGAGGGCTGGGAGCCCTTTTCTTTACAATCACTCCATAGTTCAATTCAGGAATTTGTTTAGTCTTTTCCTTTTTGATATGGTACTTTTGGGGTCACATTTGTTTATAAAACTACATTTTCCACCAAAAAGAAAGCTACTTTTGAATGAGCTAATGTATTATAGAAATACTTATAGAACATCATGTAGCCCAAAAGAAAAATTATGATTACATTTTGTGATAGGGACTCAGATAGATGATCTTTACTAAATCTGCCATAATTTGCTTTCTTTCTCCTCTTCAACAGAGACAAACCCCCTATTTTTCATTTTGGACTTGCAAATAACCCAACAGAAACCATCCTCTTCCTTGCATATTAACATATCATTTGCAAATTCACGTGATAGCTACAATGAACAATCCACAAGAAAAACAATAATCTTACCTTTTTTCATTTCCATATGACTTCTGAGCAACTTTTGCATGAAGAATAAGTACTGTTTGATCCCCTCGCTCTTTTAAATAATTCCGCATAGCTTCCCTAAAATAAAATATAAACATTACTATTACAGAGGTGAGATTTAGAATATTACTATGCTCTGTAATGAGAAAAATGCTTATAAGTATTTTTTTATACAAGCAAACCTAAAAATGAAAGCAACACAAACCGATGAACTAAATTTAAGGAATATTATACAATGAGGCAATAAATAATGTTCATATGCAACTCTAAACTTTGTTCCTTAAAAAAAGAAACTGTCCCTCATTCTTGGGATTTATGCTGTAACTGAATTAAACCACAATTACAACTTCTAGAATCACTATATGCACTGCTAATCTGGCTTTAAACTGTTTACAAAATTAATGACATGCGATACTTTATATTTAAAAATCTAATCCCACCACCACTAACCCCTCTTCTCCAGCTATTAGAATGAGTGTTTTTCATTGAATACAAACCCATAACAAATCATTAAGTCATACGAATATATTATTACATGTTCTTAAAATAACAACCCTACATAATGACTGAGAAAGAACTATTATGTATATACAAACACATAATTATTCATAAGGGTGTTACTAAATATATAACAAAATTTAAGAAAGCCTAATTGGAATTAGTGAAAAACTGAATTAAATTTTGGAAAAAATTACAATGTTAATTCTTTCAAGTAAAAGTACTCTGACTACCTATTACTGTGTATAAATTATATGAAAAGTTCAAAGTGTTGAATATATTTATTCACCCAATATTTTGCTAACCAATACTACAAAGAACACAAGGTCTACGCAGATCAAACTTAAATAACTCTGAATCGGCAGACTCTCAATTCTGAAGGTTTCTCTTTTTTTTCACATTGCAAAATTAAACCAAAGATGTTTCAAAGACGATCAAGAAACACTTTTAATAAGTTAAATGCTGTTTTATTTATATCATAAATAAATGACACAGGTATAAGAGGACAGCTACACAGCAGATGTGGAGAATTCTAAACTTGCAGCACTTAGAGAAACTAAGTAGCCTGGGGCAAATCATTCAACCTCAGTTTCTTTTCTGATAATAGGTAATAACGCTGACCTAACACAGTGGTTGTGGGGATCAAATAAGATAATCTAGATGACAGCACTTATGTTTATTGACTGAAAACCTGTTAGCTGCAACGTAGGACAGGTAATACTGGGATCCAACAGATTAAATAAATCCCTATCCAAGTACTGTGAAGACAACAGTTAGTAAAACAAATTGTAATGCAATAACATCATCCAAATAGAAGTATGAGCAGAAGTACCAATAAGGGGATATCTATGTATGGGGGTGGGGGGAGGGCAATAAAGGGCTAAATGCCAGGAAAAATTTCTTAGAAGAGGTGTTCTAAAGGAAAAGGAGCAGACAGGAGTGGGAGGAATGAATAAGGCATTCTGGGATATGCACGTAGTATGGACAAAGTCATGAATGACCCTGCACCTTTGGGTATGTGAGATGTTGGGACTGAGGAGTAAGGCAGCTACAACAACAAAACAGCAGCAGCTAATATTTCTTGAGTATTTACTGTGTGCCAGGTCTCAAACTAAGCATTTTAAATGCATCATTTCATTTAATCCTCAGAATCCAGATAGGTAAGTATTGTTAATATCATTTTTAATGTCTTGCCCAATATCTTGCAATTAATAAGTGGCAGTCAGAAACTGAAACAAATTCTCTTAAGATTTTAAAGTAAGCCACGGCAGTGAATAAAGCTCATAGCTGGGTAGAGTGGAAGTGTAAAGGCCTGCCAAATTGACAATCTGACATTTGTAAACTTAAATGTTAAGTATGAAAGTTTAAGCTAATTCATGTATCACTCCGATAGATGATAAAAATGGCAGCAACTAATAAAAATTTTAAGAAATCTAGAGAAAAACTTAAAATGTTTTTAAAAATCTATCTTTGAAGATTGAGAAAAGATTTAATTTTTTCTTAACCCATTATAGAAAATCACCATGCTGTGGAACCTGGATTTTCAATCTACACAAAAGGCAGTAACAGATCTTGAGGTTTTTAAAACATAAATTAATTTTCCTTTTTAGTTAATTCTAGTGGTGGAATAGAGAAAGGATTAGAAAGCAGAGAGACAAGAAGACAGACTTGGAAAAAGGCTGATAAATTAAGAAAGAGGCAAGAGAAGATACTAGAGGAAATGAAAAAGACTTAAGAATGACTCATATCTTTTGTTTTGGGAGAAGTGGGTATACACATTAATAGGCTCTGTTTGACAAATGTCAACACCCTGGATTGACTACTCCATGCTGGAAGTATTCAATAAGTTGTTGGAAATACCCATCTGTAGTTCCAGACAGGGGTCTGGGCTGCAAAAGTGGAGTTCGCTGGCATACAGTTGGCAAACGAAGCCATGTAAGTGAATGAAATCTCTGAAAGGAAATGCAGTGACAGGAGAGTCAAGAAGAAAATGTATAAACTGGTAAGGAGTAGAACTAGGAATACTTATTAGATGCTATGGAAGGAGACAACCTCGAAAAAAAGAGGGGAACAATCAAAAAATGAGATGCTACAGAGGTCAAAGTCACTTTAATTTTAGTAAGAAGTCTAACAAATGCCAGCAAACAGAAAACCTTACAAGTTATTTCAAAAATGAGAGAGGTCATTATAATGTCCATTTGGAAACACCCTCTAGGTAATGAAAGAAGCTGACTATGGACAAGTAAAACAACTAAAGATCAGTTATCAAAGGACCAACTAATGCTGGGATCCATAAATGATGGTGCCAATTCCCACTAACATCCCAAAGTGGGAACAGAGAGAGCGTATTCTCAAACCTGCTGGGTACTAGACAAGAAGTGCAGCCGAGGGAGGATAAAGATGATGAGGGATTTGAGGTGTTCCTAAGTCAGTGACTGACCTAAGAGTTCAGGGTGAATAAGAAAACAAAAGAAAACCCAAGACAAGGCTATTACTTTGACAAAAATGGCACAGATATCTAGTCTCTGGCATAAAACCTGAAAAGTTGTGATACATTTGAAAAGAAAAATTTTAAGTGGCAAGTGTATTTTCTCCACACTAAATTCTATCTTCATTTATAGTCTCTGTTATATCATTTAGCAATTACTTGCCATGTTTGTCAGATTTCATGTCTTTTTTTCTTGTCTTCCCAGACTATAAAGTCTTTTAAGATGCACTATTAGGCACATTTTAGAAATGGGAGAGAGATTAAATAACTTTCTCAAGGTGATACTGAAGACCCAGGATTCAAACTGAGGCAGTCTGGCTCTCAAGGACAAAATTATACTATCAGATATTTTGCAATGGTTAGGGGTACAGTTTTGGTGTGAAGCAAACAGGGGTCTGAATCTTTTAACTCCTGTCACTTACTAAACCTGAGTTTTCTCAACCTGTAAAAAAAATAGTAATACCTCATATAGTGAGAAAAAAAATTAAAGTAAGTTAGCCTTACTGACAAATACCAAGTGTCAGTAAACTCTACCTATTATTATTATTTTCTTAGAAAGGGTGCAGGAGAAGAAACAGGTGACTGCAATTGAAGTTTAAGAGCAGAGATGAAAAGGACCTGGAGGTGAAGTATCAGACTTGTTTGTAAGGCACCCGTTTTGCAAGCACATCAAGTAAGATGGACATTTACCCAACTTCCCATTAAAGATTTACCAAAAGCCTATTATGTCCCAGGCACTGGTATCATGCTAGTTGCCTGTATTGGAAGTAACGCTCCACAATTATGATCGTGACAAATGATTTCAGATCTCAAGGTGTTTGATGAATGCAAGATGACAATTCCAGTTTTTCTGTCTTTCCCTTCATATTTACAATACAAATTCCTGGGAAAAAAACTAGAACCTTAAGGTAATCACTAACAATAGCTGTCTCGTATTAGTAACTTGCCATATAACTTCATTAGAAAAAAAAACAACAACTTTGCTTTCTTAATAGCAATTCTCTAGCAATTAAAGGTTGATAATTTATTTCTGGGAACTTAAGGAGCCATAAAAAAAAAAAAGTAAACTCTAAAGAAATACAATTAAATAGTAAAGCCCATAGAATGATAGCCCATGTGCTTTTCATCCACATAGAATAAGGTTTCATCGACTGAAGAGGTTTCAATTTCACCACTGTTGGCATCTTGGGCAAAATAATTCTTTGTTGTGAGGGGAATGGCCTGTGCACTGCAGAATATTTAGCAGTATCTCTAGCTTCCCCCATTAGAAAGCTAGTAGTGCCCTTCCTCAAACTGTGACAATCGAAAATGACTCCAGATATTGCTAAATGTCAAGAGGTAGAGAAGGAGGTCACCTGAGTTGAAAACCACTGGACTAAAGAAAACCAATAACATTCCAACAAAATGTCAAAGTCATCCATTGTTTTAAGAAAGAAGGAAGGAAATTTTATCACTAGAAAACATAAGGTAGGTGCTGTAAGATTACCAGTAGAGTTACTACTTTGTATTACTGAATTGTTAAAAACAACAACAAAGTTAAAACTCATAATTTGTTGGAAGTTACTATTCTAATAAGTTTTTAAGTGTATTCTGTTAATTTCAATTAATAAATCCCTATAATAAAAATATTCATTGTGAATAAAAAACAATTAAAAATTATTTGAAGAACACCATGGAGCAACTACTTTTGAAAGAAGTAACATGGAAGCTTAACTATTTAGAAAAGCAAAAACTTTTACTTTTATCAATATTTTTAAACATAAAATCATGGTAAATGCCATTCTAATCTGACATGTTTAAACCATCTATCATTATTTCTTGTCAATTTTTTTGGCTGTGTTTTCTTTAATAAAATTCAAACTTTTTAATCAGCAAACAAAATTCACAAAAAGAATATCTTTATGGTGCTAACCCCCATTCTGAAAACAGACCCCTTACTTCCTCACCACATTCATATAAACCTCCGTGATTGGGGCAAGGGGTAAATAAGTGATTTAAACTAGACCTCTGCATGTGTATGGGGGTCGGTGGAGTGAGTTGGGAGGTAACCAGAGCCAACACCAACTAAAGGTTGGATGTCCAGACAGTCATC